GAACAAAGATCTTTAAATGAAGTAGCAAGAATATTATGCCCACCATCATTATGCTGTTGCTGAACAGTCTCTCTTCCTAGAGCCTTGTGAGAGCGTGCATTCCAGTAACAACAATGATAAAGTCATGAGCCTATACAGATGTCCACATATATCCAATAGGCTTGTTTTTCAAGCAACATAAACATATGATTGCTCTGTGTGTAGTATATGTACATGTGTCTTATCAAATGCAGGTAGAGAACATTTAAAACGTGGATATTTTGGGGAAACAATCATATTTCTAAGCTAAAAACCACTGGAGAGAATGCAGTGCATAAGTAGAGTTTCATTAATAAGCAAGCATTCTTTTCTTGTTTTAATCAATTGACCGGCACACCACCTGGAAGAAAAGAAAGAATGAGAATTAAATTGCTCAATTCAGAATATTTTTTAGAAATATCTGTTGTAATTACCTACAAAAAAAAACTCAAAATGAGTTATGAGTCCAATTAAAACAAACTTCTTGGCGTGGTTAAGCAGTCATAGCCATTTGGTGTGGTGACAGTCTTTAGAGCGATCAAGGACGGAGGGAGAGAGAAAGAAAGACAGAAAGTCATAGGTCATAGCTGTTTGTGAATAGCAAGTTCACCTTGCTTAGTACTAAATATCTGTTTATGGGAAAATGAGAGAGGGGTTATTATATGTTATTTGTGTGTTAGCCCAGAAACAAATGTTATTCTACCCAAGGACCAGAAGATCCCCCCAAAAAAACAAGGCTGACTGAAATTTATCATCAGATTTGTAATAAAATTGTCCAAAGCCCAGATTCAGAATTGAAGAGATGTAACTATCAGAATAGGTTTAACTAAATGAGGGTCTTTTTCTATGCAGTCTTCCAGGTGTTATACTGGATGAATCACACAGCGAGACAGGTGAATTAAGTAAAGGACTTCCAACAACGGTTGCATTATTACATCTATGAAAAATGCGCCTTCATGGAATAATAGCTAAAGTTGATGAAGGGGATCTCCTAGTGGCCAAAATGAAGAATGAAAATAAATGAAAACAATAAAACAAACTAAGGACACGATGAAATAGAAGTTGTAATTTTTATTCACTGTATCTCTGGGATTCAATTCTTGTAAAACTAATTTGATTGTCTCCAATGGTGCTATTGTTATTTACTAGAATTTGCTGTACATACATTTTAAGATTGATTCATTATTGGGAGATTGTTCTTTACCTTCTTTACGTATGAACTCCAACTGATAGTGCTCTACAGATGTGTAGTTCAGCTTTCCATCTTGGTCACCATTGCCTTGACTTCTTGACACAATGAGCAAGTTATTCTAGAAAATGTAGCAGAGCCAAGGAAGTGCTAGGAATTAAAAGGATGGTTTCAGAGGGTCAGAGTTTTTGTGTTTATGTAGCAAAATTATGACGTTTACCTGGGTATTCCTTGGGATTGTTCCGGGGAAAAAATTTGGACTAATAAACAAACAGTTGGGTGTTAGTGTAACTGAGATATGATATCATTTGGATTCTTCTCACAGTATGTAGCATATTTTTAAAGAAAACTCTCGTACAAGCAAATAAAATACATAGTGAAAAGGAAGAAACAGGACTGGATTTGGGGTAATTTTGATGGGATGGAACAAACGTGCTGAAAACAAGGAGAAAACATTTAAGTAGGACTAGACAAACCCCTAAATTAGATGTACACTTGTTCTGTTTAGGTTAAGACCATGATTATTAATGATTCTGTGCTATGAAATTGGTATGACTCCTAGTGGCCAGATAGGTACAATTACTTCAGGATGATCAGCCTTACAGGCTATTCATTTCTTCCAAGAATGCACCCATGATCTCTGTAATTACTATAAGTCCATCCACCTTGCTGATATCACCCTCTTTTCTTTTCTTCTATCTTTTAGCATTATGGACTTCTATATCATTTTATAATGTGTCCCAAGTATTATAATTCGAGCTTGGTCATGTGTGCCTTAAGTAATAACCCAGAATTGATTTGTTTAATGAACATGGCTGAAGAATTTTAATTCCAAACACAAGAATAGGGGTGGGGGGCAAACTTATCATTGGCAAGATAAATTATACAGCAACTGTTATTCTGGCCAAAGAAAGTGTTTCAAAATACTGATTAAAAATTGTCAAATATCTGCACTTGCCACATTCACAATTTTATTATTTTGAACCTGAAAGTAGCAACATGTGAGCACAAAGTATGCATTCGGATCTGCAGAAAAATATGTGCTTAAAATTTTATTTTGATAGGACTGATCTTGAATAACATATATGGGAATTAACTTATGCTTTTATTAAATAAACAATAAACTTATTTACATTATTATATGAGAGCCAGTCAGAAACAAATGAATGGAAGAAAATAATTATATGTTTTGCGTGAAGACCCATACTAGACTCAAGTTTCTTAGAAAATGATTCTGGTTAGCAATGAAAAAAATCAACACAGAGGGAGAAAATTTTCTATAGGATATTCTAAGAAAAGGAGGGTAGGGCTTTCCTCCCTCCCCCAGCATGAAAAAGCAGCTTTTCCTGACTCTCATTTTATGTTTAATACATCGAAAATTTCTGTGAATTATTTAGAAATTATGTATTATGCTTATATAATTTGGAAATTATAAAAGTATAATAAATACATCATTTGGGAAAAAGTAATATAAGGAACACAGTAAAGATAATATAGCTATTAGGTTTACAACAGACTGCAAATGTTTGCACTACTCAATCTGTGCAGTTAATGAAATTGCTTCTTATCATCCCCACTACGTCCCTGGAAGTTTCTTACTTTTTTCTTCTTTTTTTTCTGGGAACTGGTCCAGGAACTTAGAGGGGAGGGTAAGAAGCAATCTCATTAACTTTATGACTGCACTAGTGGTGGATTTCCATATTTTTTACTACCGGTTTTCCCGGGTGACGCTTCTGCGTTTCATGAAGGAGATCCTAATGAATTGTCTAGCCCTGGTTTACAGTATCTTGGAACACAAATTATACACCCAGAAATCTGATCTGCATCATCAAGTTCTTCCAGTTTGAGTGTAACCTATTTCTGGAGGCAGGAATTCACATCATCCTGTACCTGACCTCAGACTACTAGAAAGTAATCTCTCCAACCTTTTCTTGCTATGAAAAATATTGGCTAAGTGCCAATATTTTTGAAGTTATCTCAACTAGTGAATGCCTGTTTTTTTGTTTCATACTGGTGGATATTTTCTGTGGATTTTATGTTTAGAGATTTTCAATTATAAAAGACAAAGGTGATTTTTTTCTCTTTTTTTATTTCCATTGTTGAATGTAGGTGAAAGTTTTCAACCTGTGATTTGTTTTGGAAATGACAATATTTTATACCAAAGGCTGCAGCAATATGTATTATAGTACAGATTCTGTGATATCTTACAGTTATGTCTTTGTTTGTTCACATTACAGTAGTAAATTTATTGGTAAACTAGTGACTATTGATAAACATTTTTTTATTTTCCTTTGATGGTAATTTTAGTTTGCATCTTTAATTTTTTAGGTTTCTTCCTTTTTAAGATTAAGCATTGTTTTGCTATAAAAAATATTTAAAAAATAAATGTACTAAAATGTTGCCAGTTTTACCCAAGGGAGGTAATCAATACATCAATATAGTAGAAGAAATTGGTCAATGGAAACCACTTTTTTAAAATCCTGCCCATGGAATGGAAATGGTTTGACATTGTACAGTACTTGCTTTATTTTATTTATTAATTAATTTGCATGCCATCCATCTTGTTTCTTGGCATGGGCAGAAGTGCTAAAGGTGGGGAAAAAACCATATACAGTTTTTGAAAGTTAAATGACCCGCACTATATTTAACTTCAACAAAGCTGCAGAAAAAGTGATTCCTGTTATTGCTGAATACCTCCCCAAAGGATCTATTGTATACATTGTAAAGAGCAGGGGCTTGAATACTCAAACACTCGCTGAAATTAAAATTTCCCTCTCAACTCCACCACCGCATCTTCTCCAAAAGTGACTGCGCTATTGCGGATTGTATCTCTCAGCTCAAACGTCTCTTCCCTCGTGCCCATTAAATTGGTATGTGATTTGGTATTATGTGCTGCTACAGCAGATGCCCTTTAAATGGGTGCAAAACTCGCCTCTTTATCAGAAGCATAAGATTTGTACTTAAATCGCTTTTGTCCCCTTTCTTTATAACGGAAACCCAGTGCAAAATCCAAGGTTATCCAGTTATTAAGTAGCTGGGTTAGTCAAGGTAGCTAGAAAGAAAGGCCCTTCATATCTCTAAAAGAGCTCATTAATATAGTTTTAATTAACTGAAACGCGTAATGCATGGTATTAACGGTCCGCCAATAAAAGTTCATCAGAAACAGCTGAAATTGCAGTTTAAATACCTTAAGGCGTGTAGAAATCTAAAGACCATTTAAAAAACCCCTAAACGTTAATACGAAGACGGTGACAAAAACGGATGCCTTCTTTAGATTTTTATAAAAAAATCTAAACTCCCCCGAATTTTCTCTTTAAACGCGGCAAATTGGCATGCCGTCACTTAGAATTGGTAGGGTTAATCTGACTGGCTGTATTGAAATTGGAATTAGCAATACGGTGGCACGTTTAAAAATAAACCATAATTGATTCACATCAAGACCTCAAAAGGTATTAAATTGGGCTACAATGTAATCTCGGACATACGCGTACGAGATTACAATGCATTTCTTTATTTTCTATCTCTGAGATTTTGGTATAGCACTATATTTTCTTTCAAAAGGCCTGTTCCGGGTTACAGGTCACGTGACGCCACCTTGACCGGTCCACAAGAGGGCGCACACAACGGGCGCTTCCTGACGGTCTAGGAACAAAAATGGCCAGTCATCGCGCGCTTTCCGCCTCATTCAAAATCGGCGGCGACCACGGCCAATCAGAGAAAAGCTGAGCCCTTTCGTCCTACGATCGATGTTCCTAGCAGCCAGTAGCGAACAGATGGGCCTGGCGGCCGTGGGCGTGAACAAAACCAGAGTCGGCTAGTGATGGCGGAACGAGGAGGAGGAGGAGGTGGTAGCGGCGGCCTCGGCCCTGGCGGCGGCGGCGGCGGCGAAGGAGATGCTGGTGCAGCGGAACGGTACAACAATGAAATCAGGTAAGGGGACATCTCCCGCTTGAATCACGTCGCTCAGAACACTGCGGGAAGGTGGGGACAACAAGCGGTCGCCCGGCAGCACGAGGCCTTTACGAGCGTGCGCATGCGCACACGACGCGCCGAAACCTCGAGCGTTCTTCGGCTTCCCTGTTTCCTCAGTGGTTCATTCGCCTCCCCCCCCACACACTTTTTTTTTTCGGCGCGAGGCGGAAGCGGCCGTTCAGCTGCCCCCGCCCGCCCCTCTTCAGTCTTCGCTTCAGCTCCGGTGAGAGGATTTCCTCCGTTTGCCCTCCCGTACCTTAGTTACCCTAGTTCTTTTCCCGTCGCTGCCGAAAGTGTGTCGTTTAGGTGTGGGCTTTTTTTTGTTTTGTTTCTAACGGCTATTCCGGTGTCTTCGAGGAAAAGGCTTCGGGGACGGACGGAGCGTTTGCTCTCCTCAGGGCCGGATTCCCGTGGGGGAGGGGGGTGTTGCTTCTGGGCTCGAGGACCTCGTCAAGCAAGCGGAACTAGGGGGTGGAAGAGAGATCTCGCCCTCCATGGTTGGATCTCGAAGCCCTGGCACGTGGCTCCGCATTGGGCACTTAGGTGGCGGTGGGCTCAGCCCAGATGTCTGAGGGAGTGCCGGACGCAAAAACTTTCCCGAAGTCTTTTGGAGCCGCAGACTGACTGGATCCGGGGTCATTCAGCAGGGACACAGAGCGAGACGTTGGTATGGATACAGGAAGGTTGCACAGATGGCGATTGTAGATGGTCAGGGGTCGTCTGTGTCGAACGGTAGTAGGTATATATCCCACCTCCGTCTGAGGATCTTTCCCAGACAAATCCTCCCGCAAGGATTCTTCCTCCAACCCGTCAAGTAGCTCAAGCACGTTTTCCCCATTTGTAAATGCGATCTTAGGTACGATGTGCGATCTCGTGGTGGGGAAAAGCTGCAGCTTCTCCACATAACACAAAATGGTGTTATCCAACTATTGGGTAGTCTGATAAGGTAACACACCGGGATTTCCATTAGAAAATATTACTAAACTTCCCTTTATTAGAATGAATATTGTTTCCATTGGAAAATATTTAATCATCCATATAGTAAATGTTCTTCCAAAAAGAGTACAGTATATTACGAAACTAACCATGAAGATGTTTTGAGTGCAGTTATTGTTGGATTGTAATAAATTCCTTTGCATATTTCATGGTAGTGGATCTGGGTACTTGAGAGACCGCCTACTGCCAATTACCTCCACGCGACCAATTAGATCACATAGATTAGGCCTCCTCC